TTCCTTTGACTTCTATTTCTCTAAAGTGTAGCCCCGATCTTAACCTTTTCCACGTGATTTCTGCTACCATATAAATTTGTGATGTATTAGCCAAGATGAACAATCACAGAAAACAAGCTTTGTTCGCTACCTTCTTCTTTCTCATGAATTAACAGTTCATTAGAAAAAAAGCATGCTATTAGTGGCTGGGCCAGGCCTAATACTAGACTCCATAAGAGATTTCACCGATTGGTTGTCGATCACGTGGTGCTTAGTCCACCATGCAACCTTGACATTCAGTCACCATACGTCTCTAGTTGGCGGTGCCGAATAGGGAGTCGAAAGATGTCGCCCCGAATGCAATGCCGAGGTCAACTTGGCAGCTCACGAATCACACAAACTAGATATTCGGACGTAGTGCCGTTTTCTAACCATCCTATTTTGTTGACAAACAAAGCTGGTATTTTGGAGTCTTCTGGTTGCAGAATGAAGCTTGTTACACATTCCGTTGGAGAATAGCGGGGAAATATATTGGAACTGTGAACGAATTAGTCTCCATGTGCTCGATTCCACGGAATGTGACCTTACAGTAGAGCCCATAGTGAGTGTTTCGCACGATCACTGATCCTTTCAGCGCAGGAAACGATCGGCACGTGAGCACGTGATGCGGGTTCTGTGGGCGAAAAATAAGCACGAGTTACTCCCGCTGGTACTCAACCCGTCGCGACCGAACGGTTCTTAAGGTGCACATGGCTAATAATTCTCCACAAGAGATAAACAGGTGTAAGGCAAACCTCAGATTTTCAGCATACACTGAATTCACACTTGGGACGAAGTCCTCGTCGAAAATTCTGAAACAACGCCTCGTAAGAGTTTTTCTAAACGGGTATATTACAGAATGATATGCGCATGTCTTCTGATGGATAAGATTCTGTTTATGGAAGCATCGGCAAGGTAGTTTTGAAATACTGGAAGTCTGCAATCCACGGGATGTTTGCCAAAATACGCTAAAAGTTCCATCCTGAAATGGTTGGAGACTGTGTACAGTCTGACAGAAAACTATTGCATTCTTCGATCAAACGACACCAGTTGTAATTGCTGATACCGGGATATCATGCAACAACAAGGCAAAACGTCTCATTATAGAACCGGGGAAGGTAGCAATTTATGTACATACGGGAAACGGCCAAGAACAAGGCGCTTCCACAGACAAAGAGTTGGACGTTTGACTAAGCTGTGTCAGTCTACGCACTCTTTCATGTAAGCCGCCGAATACCCTTCAGAGGTAAACGTTGACGTCCCCAATGGTTGTCATTCCAATGGATCGCTTGTTTTTATGTATCTCAACGGGTGCAGACAAATTTGTAGACGGATGAGGTTTCGCGAAGATAAACAGTTGCTGACTCTGGAAAGCACCTTCGATGAATCCCGTTCTAGGCAGTTTGTAAATCATTTTTCCGATACAACCAACTTACTATAACTCCAACTTTTCACTTTACCAAGTCTGATAAATTTGTAGAGACTGCCTGCTATATTTTCGGCCCGCTCAACGACGTGTCTTGGCATAAACAATCGCGTCTTCAATGACATTAACAACAGTGGCAGAACTGAAAGTGAAGCCGTTGACCCTACGAACGTCAAGCAAATAGGATAGACTCCAAGGCAGGCTCACATGCGGAGGATTGGGCCCACTTTGGGAGGTGAAATCCTAGGATCCTCCGAAATGGTATATTATTGACCGAGTCTAGGTTTTGTAACCTCCATGAACGGAGACTTTCGTGCTGAAAGAAGCGTACCACAACGGGACTAGCGGAGGTTCAGGGCGCGCATGTGCTCGGCCAATCACAACTACAGGTTACACAGCGTCACATCTGGCGTGCGCATATATATTGAAAGCCACGCACCCCCTGAGGCGCACGGAAATGCAAACTGGCTAGTGTAATCACGTCAAAAGTAACGTGAGGTAGCATCAATGGTGACAGTCCCGAATGGCTTTGTGGTGAGTCAGAGATAAGCTAATCGGTTGTGTTGTTTAAAGGACATCCCAATTACCATATGGTGGAATAAGAACTTTCTGGACAATAGATTCTCCTCTTCTACCAGACTCTATGTACCCTATTTCAGAAAACATTTCTGAAAGCCTTGTTGTCATCCGTTTTCAGATTTTCCAAACACAGACAAATTTTACGGAATATCTGAGGACTACTGGAGGCTGATTTTGAACAGCTTAGGCCAAGCTCGAATCCAGGTCTCCGATTTGCAATTTTCTCCCCTTCTCCACTAATTATTTATTTGATAGTGACTGCTCAACATATTTTAAAACATAAAACGAGCTTCCACCAAGTAAGCACCGTAACCTGTATAGACGTAATACACTGTACATAAGCTCGCTGAAATTTCCTCGATGGCCCATGAAGTTTTTCGCCTTTCGTGGGACTCATCGGGAAGGCGAACTCCACTCGTTTCCGTCAACCTGATGTTCTAACTGAACTCAACTTGCAGATGATAAGCGAAAAACACCCATCTACAAGCCAGGTTGGTTTAGCTGGGCACCCAACTGAAACAAAACTGTATCCGTCTTTTTATGATGTTTTAAAGCAAATGAATGTGCTGCACCAGGCCACATCATGCTTCAATTGGTACAATATTTGGGATACCGCGATTCACGCATAGACGCAGTACACTACTCATGAAGTTGCCGGATATTCTTCAACAACCCACGACCAGGTAAGTCTTCCGCAAAACCAAATTAGTTTGCAAATATGTGTACTCCGTTTTAGGCCTGCTCAGAAAACACCAGCGGTGCATGCCTCCTGAACAGGCAGAAAGGTATAAACTCGCCACTCCTGAGATCAAACCGTTCGGCCACCTTTTGTACAGTTAACTAGCAACATTAACTGTCAACGTCCAACACACTTTCCGCCGTTATTGTTTTAATTCAAAAGGGAAGCAATAGTAGGGACACAGTTTTAAGGGGCTCACTTTAAATTCCAGTTCTATAGACCAGTTGGATAAAAAATCAATCACTCCACATCTTCTGAGTACAGCTCAGATTAGAATTCATACATTCTACAAAACAGGAAAACTGAAATAAACTGAGGCAAATTATGTTCACAAAAGAGAACCCTACTGCCTCACAATGCCATGCCTAAATTCCGGCAAAACGTTGTTTCTGATGTATGAATTCCCTCTGAACATAGCGCTGGTGATGATATTTTCACTTTTGGTGCACAGGTATCGAAAATCAGACTTAGAGGGCTAGCGGAGCACTTAGCATTTTTCTGCGCGACTGTGTTTCGTCAGTGCTGTAAGGAAGAGTGTTTAAGAAGGTTGATAATTTGGAGAGTTCCGATTATCGAATGGCATCAATTACATGGCGAAATCCCCACTGATACTGTGTCTGTGTGGTACCAGACACGGACTGAATTGTGAATGAACAAACAGAACGTTTCGGGTTGCGTATCCGTGACACATTAGGAATACTTTACTGAAACTAAATGTAATCTAGTCGTCGACATGTTGCAAGGATATTTTTATCAGTTAATCGACAGGTCTCCGGAGGCCAGCCATTCCTAATAGCCGAACATCACATCAACTGGACGGATGTGTCATGCGCAAGCTACAGACCAAACGAAGGTATACCCTGATTGGTCACAACGCAAGCTAATCTGTGTCAAGCACCCTTAGCTCGATGCTTCTCGGCCTCTAAGGGCGATTATAGCCCGACGTTTTGTAAAATCCTGTGACTATTCTACAAATACAGTGGTGATAATCCTCCTTTGTATCCATAAAGGGCTGTCTGAAGCTGCCGTGCCTTCTGATATACCATAGTGTGCATAGCATGAATGTGACGGACAAATTTGATGACCGAATCAGTGTGTCTGTTCGTTTGTATCTACTCAACCTGCGAAAAACCTCACATTTAAATTCACACGCGCAGACAATCGGTGACCTATACGCTCTGTCTCATTCCACGGCACCGGTAGGCTTACCATACACCGCATCCTTACACCACAATACAACGCATCCCATGTTCTGCTAAACCGTCATTCAAAGCTTGCTTCTCATGATTGGTCTTAATTACTGATTTATAATTTCGCTCCAAAATCTGTTTAGGCTAACATAGATCACCTCCGAATGCAAAATTCTGTCGGAAGCGTTGGCGAATCGTATGGTTTAATATGGTAAGAATCTACACACAGCAGCATGAATGTGACGGACAAATTTGGTGGCCGAAGCGGTGTGCCTGTTTGTTTATCTCTTTCAGACTACCACTGTCGCTCATATCTATTGTTCAAAGGCAAGTTGGAAACTCGGTCTTTCTGGTGGAGGCGGGATAATCTGGCAGGTCACATTCGTGCTTTCTTCATGGGAATCACCATCCGGCAAATTTCAAGGGAGATCAGACTTGTAGCGATATGCAAGGCTAATTTGCAAATCAATTTGGTTTTCACGGGAGACGCAAGTAGATGATAAGCTTGACGGAAACTCGGGGACCGCGCCCACCCCCAAGAAGGGCGAAACCGATCGTGGGCTGTCGAAGCGTTTTCAGCAATCTTGTGAGTAGTTTCCTTTATGAAGATATGCAAGGCTGTTTAACGACAAATGACTGATCGATAACATGGTCATCTCTCTCTCGGACACTATACCGGTTAGATATCTTGCAACGAAACCACAGTAAAAGCACATCAAATTAACCAGCGAATCGTAATATCTACACCAAGAAGGAGTCTGACAGCAGTCTTCTGTGTACAACATCCATGCATGTGACATAACTAAAGCTTAGCTCACATGCGAAAATGCAGCAAAATGCCTTTCATCCATGATCAACAAAACCGTGGAAGTCTCACTAGTCTCACTCTATAACCGAGGAACTTCTTGTTCTAAGGTATCGATAAGTATATCGGTGCCATGGGGGTAGTTGAAGTAAGACCATCGATGACCAAACCCTTGGACAAAAACTTCACTCACCTTGGGGCTGAAGATAAAACGAGAATTAATTTGCCCAATTTTGGGAAAACAATGCAGGGGAATTCAGTATTTCGTACCCTGGTATTGGGTTTTTGGAATTCAAATTCCACAGTCTAATTCGATTAATATTGTGGCTGAAGGTTCGTCCCTTACAACGACTTACTAATGCTTTACAGGAATCGTCAAGCAAAAAATGATTGAAGTTATATGGGCAAGTTGAAAGTGGCAAGCAAACAACTCTTGCAAAGGCTGCACAAAACGAAACTGACCTGATCTCCGCTTATACTTTGCTATTCAATGTAAATGTGACGCTGCTGATAGGGATCACACCTTTTTGTCATCACCACAGAGGATTTCTGTGTTGAACTCTAGCAATGTACGTGGTTTTTTTCGATAATCGGCTTTGCATATGTCACCAACTGTCTTGGGGTTTCGAATTGCAATCTTCTATTCAGCTCATCAGCACACTCCATTCAGACTAAGAATGAACGGGATGCTAATTCTGGAACAATGACTTGGAGAGCTTGAGTGTGTGAGAACGTTCAACTCTTAATCAAGGTTCCATCTTTTGGCTAAAGACAATCTAACACACAACCGTAGCACTCTTCAGCAGTTGACGTTTTACGGATCCCCAGGGACACCCATACCTTAGAAAATCTGTTCAGAAGTTACGGCTTGCGTTCTGCAACAAGTGGTTGACCAAACGCGTGATTAACCAGCACGGTGAGAAGAAATCATCCCACTTTAACCACGCAGTTTATCCCATTTGGTCACCTGCAGGCTAACTCCACTGTTACCATTCTTAATCAGTTTAACGCTACCTGTAGAGCGCTCTGCTGAACCGGAAAAAAATTACTTGCAGGTTCAATGTTTGCCACCAATTAGGTTGTCATCGTTTCAGAGAGGTTTGGTAGACAATCGGACAAAGAGCAACACAAGTGGAATTGGGAATGACAACTTCAAAGTAGCGGATACTCGGTGGGTTCAAGATAGCAGTAACTTAGACAAGCGCAGGTTCCAAAACCAAGAACCAACAACAACCGGAACCGCAGACATCCCACACAAATAGAGGCATCTGTAGCTATCAGACGGGTGTTGAATACGGCTAACATTGGAGTAGAACTTTAAAAGGGGAGGACTTCACGCTAAGTATTGGCGCAGTTCAAGGATCAAATTCTGACTGATCCGACAAGAGACTGTGCAAACAAAATAAAATCTAATGCTTGTTTGAAGATTAACACGAGTTAGACAGCCAGAAAATGCATACAAGAATCGGCGGGCATTGGAAAGTGTGGACATTTTCAGTCAGGGATCGAGGCTCGCACCATGGCAACTGGTGCCCGAGGTGGTGAAAGTCACCAGACATCCCAGCGTGAATAGACCAGTAGACGTAGAGCTGGCAAGCGTATGGAAAGTGGTTTCAAAGTGACACGAGGTGGTGTGAAGTAAAAAGGGTAACGGTGATACTACCGATGAGGAGGCATTCGAGTATTTTTTCCTCTTGTTAATCCGCTTCTCGTCTCGTGAAATGCGGGATCTATTGCGGAATTTGTGGAGTCGCTCCGTAGCATTTGCTTGCATTTGAGTAGCAGTCAATGAAGACGCGCTCAAAGAGGGAATGGTTATTCAGTTTTTGCAAACAAGATTCATATGAGAGTTTTACTTCCCTGTGCAATATTGTGTAACTGTTCGGTTGGCATTTTCTAATAAATAACTCCGCGGCGAAGGCCTTCTCCCTTTCATCAGTATAGCAGTCTGCATGTAAGAGTACAAGTTCCACCTAACCATTTTCACCGAACCCTAGTGCAATTTTCCATGCCCCTACGTCGCACACACAAATAAAATCTGCA